GTCTCATACTTGTGAGTTCGGGTCGGGGTCAGGTTTCGAATTTAGCAGTACGAGTTGAGCCTGGTCGAGTTGGGTCTCAAACTCATGGGTTTTGGTGAGGTCCGGGTTTCAAATTTAGCAGTATGTGTCGAGCCTGGTAGAGCTGGGTCTCAAACATGTGGGTTTGGGGTTTTGATTTTGCTTTTTACAAGTTGAGCCTGGTGGGGTCGGCTCTTAAACTCACAGGTTTGGGTCATGTCCAAGTATCAAATTTAGCAGTACAAATTGGGCATGGTCGGATCTGGTCTCAAACCCGCGGGTATGGGTCAGGTTTAAACTCAGGGGTTTGGGCCAAGTTTGGGTTTCAAATTTAGAAGTGCGAGTCAGGCCTGGTCGGGTTTGGGTCTCAAACTTGAGGGTGGGTTTGAGTCAGATTTGGGCTTCAATTTCATGCCCTTGCAGACCTCTAATGTAGGCATGTGCTCAGACAATTTGGATCAGGCTTCAGTTTCATGCCTGTGCATACCTAAGTAGCACAAGTGTGTTCGGTTTGGGTTCGAGCATCTAATTTAGCCCTAACGGTCGGACTGGTTGGGCCTCAAACTCGCAGGTTTAGATTTCAAATTTAGCAGTGCAAATCGGGCCTGCTCGGGTTTTAAACTAGCGGGTTCAGGTTTCAAATTTAGTAGTGCACGTCGGGCCTGCTCGGGTCTTAAACTAGTGGGTTCAGGTTTCAAATTTAGCAGTGCACGTCGGGCCTCCTCGGGTCTTAAACTAGCGGGTTCAGGTTTCAAATTTAGCAGTGCACGTCAGGCCTGCTCGGGTCTTAAACTAGCTGGTTTAGGTTTCAAATTTAGCAGTGCATGTCAGGCCTGCTCGGGTCTTAAACTAGCTGGTTTAGGTTTCAAATTTAGCAGTGCACGTCCAGCCTGCTCGGGTCAAGTCTCTAACTAATGGGTTCAGGTTTCAAATTTAGTAGTGCACATCGGGTCTGGGTAAAGCTGGATCTCATACTAGCAGGTTTGTGTTTCAAATTTAGTAGTGCAAGTCAGGCCTGGTTGGGTCAGGTTTCAAACACATGAGTCTGGGCTGAGTTCCGGCTTCATTTTCATGCCTGTACAGATCTCTAATGTAGCTATGTGCACAAATACAAACACACACACGCATGCTTCAATATGTAGCTATATGCACAAATATACACACACGCAAGCACAAGACATTGAATAATGCATTAACATCATCAAACACACACCCACACACATTCACATATGCACACTCACAAGATTCAGCATGTAGCAATGTGCACACATGCGTGCTGTAATTAAGACTGTGCCTGTAGGGTATAGTCTATATATAGGCCAAGCGGATCTATTTGATGTGCACTATAGATTCTTTTGGCAGAGCACATCCAGCAGATTAGAACAGAGCAGGCTTTAACTTTAAACTCCATTTTAATACTGCGTTTAATCCGCTCTTCTGAACGCAGAGCAAAGGAGCCCACATTCCGCTACATCAGAAAGAATATCTATATCTAATCGTGTTATCGTTTGATAAGTAGCTCATGAATATTCAAAGAAATCATTCCTTTTTGAATACATTAACCCAGCCGTAAACGAACTAGGGGCCATTTGATGGAGATCAATTACGTCTCATACACTTTCAGCATTTTGAAGCATGTCTTCGCCATCAGATGCGCCAAAACGCCGAGCATCTGCGCAAAAGAAGAAAAAAACCCACGTCTTCTAATCAAAGTCAAATATTCATAATGCAAATAAAGCGCGAGGCTAAACGCTTTGTGAGCGGAGAAATCAGATTTTGCGCATGGCTGTTCCGGCGCAGAGGGCTCCAAAGGGAGCCGCGGAGTTAAAATTACATGTGAACTCCGAGTTCCTCCCTGAGTATTCATGAGAGGGGAATTGAAATGATGTTAATGCATTATTCAATGTCTTGATGGAGAAAAAAACAAATGACAGGCCATCAGGCATTGATATGGGCAGCTGGAGCAGTGAGCGTGGATGGTTTCAGTGTTTCTGCAGCTAAATATTTACATTTGATGGCTAAATTTGCTTCACCAGAGACATTGTTAAAAGCAAAACAACAGGAACTGTTCAAATGAAAACCTGACACAGCATGAACGTTGAGATTACAAGAGTCATTTAGCTTTAACTTAATTTAGCTATTATTCTAACTTAAACTGATAGCTAGTTAAATCTGCCTTTGTGGATTCATTCATGCCTTAAGTGTAAATACAGAGTGTAAGAATTAAGAAATTAATGAAATTACCAAACCATTACCACTGATAATGCAGAAATAACTGCTGTTCATTGCATTTCACTTCATTTCACTTGCTGTTCATTCCCATATAATTCTGTGGTTGAATGTAATTTTGCACAAACACTACATTAGAACACTATTTAAACACTATGTTTTTATACCACAACAACAAAAACAAAAAAGATTGGAAGCTGTTGATGCCAAATGTGAATGTAATTGTGTGACTATGTAAGTATGTAAACCACAAACCATAACAACTACTACTACTACTACTACTACTACTAATAATAATAATAATAGTTGTGGTTTGTGATGACAGAGGAATTGCTAATACTAAACACTGATTAAAATGACCTAAATATGTATATGTGTAGTTAAAATTCATACTTGGAAAAGACCACCTGGCTAGTGGCTCACACGTAATTTGAGTTTGAGACCCGTGCTTTACACTGAACGTGGCCAGGGTGCTTTATATCTGATGTAACAACCAGGTCTTAATGCTTCCACAATGAAGACGTCCCTGACTCAACTGGAATTTAAAACAGCTCCATTTTAGCCAGCGTTCTTTTTATTTTGAACAGTTAGCACAAGGCTTTGTTATACACGCGTACTATACAAGAAAGAGAGCGAGTGAGAAAGTGCACAAGACAGAAGTTTTCAGTCAGTCCATAAGTATTCGGACAGTGACACAATTTTTGGAATTTTTCCTCTTTACCACCACAATGGATTTGCAATGAACTAATCCAGATGCTATTAAAATGTAGAATTTTAGCTTTAATTCCAGAAGTTGAACAAAAATATTGCATTAACCATTTAGGAATTACAGCCATTTTTTTACATAGTCCCTCCCTAATTAGAAATACAACGATTATTTGCAATATTTGGATACAAATCGTTTACACTGAAGTCTGTGGACATCACCGAATGCTGAGTTTCCTCCCTTTCGATGCTTTGCCAGGCCTTTACTGCAGTTTGACTTCAGTTTTGTTTTCAGTAAATGAAAAGCATGCTTAGTTGAGTTGAGGTCAGGTTACTGACTTGGCCATTTACATTCCATTTCTTTGCCTTCAGAAGCTCTTGGGCTGCTTTCGCAGTATGTTTTGCGTCATTTTTCATCTGTACTGTGAAGCACTTTCAGTTCTTTAGCATTGGACTGAATCTGAGCAGGACGTACAACTCTATACACTTCAGAATTCATCCTGCTACTTCTATCAGCAGTCGCATCATCAATAAACACCAGTGACCCAGTTCCATTGGCAGCCATGCATGCCCATGTCATTACACTGCCTCCACCATGTTTTACAGATGACGTGCATGCTTCGGATCATGAGCCCTTCCTTTCCTTCTCCACGCTCTTCTGTTCCCATCATTCTGGTATAAGTTAATTTGTTTCTGTCCAAAGAATCTTGTTCCAGAACTGGGCAGGATTTTTCAGATGTTTAAAGTCTAATCTGGCCTTTCTGTTCTTGCATGTTAGCAGTGGTTTGCATCTTGAGGTAAACCCTCTGTGTTCACATTCATAAAGACGTCGCTTAATTGTAGACTTTGATAATGATACACCAACCTCTACTAGAATGCCCATGACTTGACTAGATGTTATAAAGGGCTTTCTCTTCACCACAGAAAGATTTCTGCAGTCATCCACTTTAGTTGTCTTTGGTGGTCTTCCAGGCCTTTTGTTGTTAAGTTCACCAATGCGTTACTTCCTTTTAAGAATGTACCAAATTGTTGATTTGGCTGCGCCTAAGGTTTCCGCTATGTCTCTGATAGATTTTTTTTTTTTTTAATCAAATCTTTTACTTGAATTGACACCTCTTTGGGCTGCATATTAAAAGTTCCCATGAACAGCTACGAAATACATAGTCAACACTTGGAATTAACTCCAGACCTTTTATCTCCTTAATCTGTCATGAAATAATGAGGGAACAGGCCACACCTGGCCATGAAGGCGCATATCAGTCAACTGCCCAATTACTTTTGAGCATGTGAAAATTGAGGGACTATGTAAAATTTGGCTGCAATTCCTAAACTATTAATGCAGTATTTTTGTTAAACCTCTTGAATTAAAGCTAAAGGCCTCTCTAACCTCTAGATTGGTCATTTGTTGCTACATATTTATTAAACAGAAGTGACTTTTTAAGCTGTATATGTGTTAACAGTATAGTCTCATCATGTAAGAGTGGAAGTACATGAGTTATAATGAACAGTCCTACAAAAGACAGTCAAGTGCAATTTTTTCTGCACCCCGGTCAAATTACATTTTTTTGTTGAAAATAGACACATCCTCTACAGAGAACAGACTTTTGCACATTTTAATGCACAATTACTGTTTATTTGATGAATTTAACATAGTTGGGAAAATAAAATATAAAATGTGGCATGGGCAAAAAATTATGGCACATTTTATGTTTTATTTTTTGCAATACGTTGAACAAATACATAGAAATTGTGCATTTAAATTAGTTGAAAAATGCTATATTTACATCTGTTACCTATAGAAGATGACTTATTTTCACTTAGAAAATCAACAAAACATACAATTTGCCTCAAACAAAACATGCAAGCCAGCACAATATTACCAAAGATCTGCTAATCTGGTACATATGAGCTTGGGACATTAAATCAATGTTAAGGTCATGGAACTTGTATTAGACATGATGGTACGTAAAACACTGCTTGTAAGAATAGTCATGTGCAGGCTTGGTGGGTGTAACCATGTATATGGGTGTGTGAGAACGTGCACTCACGGCATGTGTGTAGGTGCTGTAGGTGCTGCTGTATGTGCTGAAAGGCAGAGCCACAGCAGGGTTGAAGATGCCAAACTGGCCGACCATCTGTTGCATGCGGCGGATCGTCCTCTCTTTATCAGTATCGGCAAACTTCACCACCAGACTGGAGGATGCTCCCTGAGAGAGAGAGAGAGAGAGAGAGAGAGAGAGAGAGAGAGAGAGAGAGAGAGCGAGAGAGCAAGAGAGAGCAAGAGAGAGAGACACATTTGGTTTCATACTGAGAAGTATTTCCACACACCATAAACGTCATTGGTGATACCAGTGTATGTATTCATGACTCATATGTTATAAGTATACATTTTAATGGTGAAAATTGTTACTAATCACAATGAAATATTTTAATTCGCAGGCCATATATATATTGATTAATAACAATTTACATCATTTAAATCAGTAGATATACAACCCCATTTCCAAAAAAGTTGGGACGCTGTGCAAAATGTAAATAAAAACAAAATGCAGTTATGTGCAAATCATTTAAACCCTATATGTATTTGAAAATAGTACAAAGACAACATATCAAATGTTGAAACTGAGATATTTTGTTGTTTTTTGAAAAATATATGTCCATTTTGAATTTGATGCCAACAACTCATTCTAAAAAGTTGGGATGGGGGCAACAAAAGACTGGTAAAGTTGTGTAATGCTACCTGGTGGTTAATTGGCAACAGGTCAGTAACATGATTGGGTATAAAAAATACATCCCGGAGAGGCTGAATCTTTCATGAGGAGGGTTTCACCACTCTGTGAAAGACTGCTCGATCGAATAGTGCAACAATTCAAGAATAACATTTCTCAACATAAAATAGCACAGAACTGATGGTACATAATATCATTAAAAGATTCAAAGAATCTGCAGAAATCTCTGTATGCAAGGGAAAAGACTGAAAACCAGTATTTGATGGCCGTGATCTTTGGGCCCTGCCTTAAAAACAGACATGATTCTGTAGTGGAAATCACTGCATGGGCTCAGGAACACTTCTGAAAAACACTGTCTGTGAAAACAGTTCGTCGCTGCATCCACAAATGCTAATTAAAACTCTTAAACACAAAAAAGAAACCATATATAAACAGAAATGCCGCCACCTTCTCTGGGCCTGAACTCATTTAAAATGGACTGAGAGGAAGTGGAAGTCCTGTGCTCCAACAAATCAAAATTTGAAATTCTTTTCGGAAATCATGGACACTGTGTCCTCCAGGCTAGAGACCACTCAGCTTGTTATCAGTGCACAGTTCAAAAGCCAGTATTCATGATGGTATAGGGGTGCATTAGTGCACATGGCATGGGTGACTTGCACATCTGTGAATGCACCATTAATGCTGAACGATATATACATGTTTTGGCAACATATGCTGCCATTCAGACGATGTCTTTTTCAGGAAAGGCCTTGTTTATTTCAGCAAGACAATATAAAACCACATTCTACATGTATTACAACAGAATTCCTCTGTATTAAAAGAGTCCATGTGCTAAACTGGCCTGCATGCAATCCAGATCTGTCACCCACTGAAAATATTTGGCACATTATGGAATGAAAAATACAACAAAGGAGACCCTGAACTGTTGAGCAGCTGAAATCCTATGTCAAATGAATGGGAAAACATTTCTCTTTCAAAACTACAGCAGTTGGTCTCCTCAGTTCCCAAAAGCTTACAGAGTGTTGTTAAAAGAAGAGGTGATGCAACACAGTCGTAAACATACCCCTGTCCCAACAAAATGGCATCAAATTCAAAATGGGCAAATATTTTTCAAAAAACAATAAAATTTCTCAGTTTCAGCATTTGAAAATATAGGGTTTAAATGATTAAATCATTTAAACCCCAAGTGGACAAAATAAGATTCACTACAATGTCTTTATTACTTTCAATAACTCATTAACATTATTTTCATTTCAACAACATGAACATGAAAATCATGTGATTTCTACAGAGTGAACACATTATCCCATTTTCACCACTGACTTCCAGTGAGAGCAACTGTGGCTACATGTTCCAACTAATGAGTGTATACACATATCATTTATATCATCTATACCCTCCATGATAGCAGCTTCTCTCTCGTGTTCATATCGTTCATGGTGTAGAGGGTCTTGAGGGGAACTGGAGCTTTCCACTTACTATTGTTAGTCTGCTGAAGGTATCACTTTAAATTACTGTATAAAAGGTCTTAGGCACCAAATCAAATAGTTTAAAATTGTTTTTAGTCTTGCAGTCTCTCTCTGCTTTCTGTCTGCACTCCATTCATTCTTTACTGGGCAGTTCGGCCATCTCTTAATATATGATGTCAATGTCTAGTACACTATACCAAACTAGTTCTCTCACAAATGAGCATACACACACACACACACACACACACACACACACACATACACACACATACACACACACACACACACACACACATGCTTATTAAGGAGCTTCTAATGATTTAGAGCAACATATGACCTTTGGTGGTGGCTAAGGCACCCCGGAAATCAATCAGCTGTAAAGGCCAAAATACTCTCAACTAATGATTACAGAGAGAGAGAGAGAGAGAGAGAGAGAGAGAGAAAGAGAAGGAAGAATAAGAAGATACAAGAAGAAAGGGAGGAGAAAGGATGAGATATAAGACAGGAGATGAGAAAACAGGAGAAGGGAAGGGAAGGGAAGGCATTCGTGTCCTTCAGCTTTTGTCCGGATCAGTGTTGCTGTCCATGGTGCTGAACAATCTGAGCTTTTCACTGGCTGTGAGGCTGCACAGTAACACTCACCCAGTAATGCTGACATGCCACATGACTGACAGAAAGCTAGCGGGACCAAACAGCACAGTCAAATTATACTAACTAGCTCCTACTAGTTCATTTCAAGCCCCAGCAATACAGCAGGGTAATATGTGTCATTTCCTCAGAGCTCCTTCATGAAGAATCATTCTTGCGCCTTTGTTTTAATCAACAAACTGATAATGTAAGCTAGCTGATCTTAGATTGCCCCTGGTACTCTGGAACTCTGGGCTGTGGACGTTACATCAAGCAAATTAAAACTGACCTGTTCATGCTCTGCCCACAAACGCGTTCAGTCATAACTACTGTTGTGAGGTTGAACAAGCTTTACAGTGTTCAACCTAATGAGAAACTTTGTTTCAGGTCGCTACAAAATGTTGAGTTTCCAGTTTAAAATGCTACACTGCTGGACTGTATTGTTGTAATTGAAAGCAGGCAGATTGGAAATAACAAGAAGCCACCATTTTTGTGCTTGATGACAAAAATTTACATCTGATCTGTCCTGAAGGTGTGACCCTTTCACAGGCATACAATATGAACATCATTTGAAATGAATAACACACTTGTCCAATCTAGCAACAGTTAGCTATGAAGGGATGTACGTGTGGGCAGCATATGAACAGGTTTCCAGAAAGTTTCCAGAATCCCAGAACTAGAATTCCACATCTGTGACTTGTTCCACCAGGCACTGTGGTAGTGCATAGTTCAGTTGCTGATCCAAACCCAGAACAATCTGCATCCTGGTCAAGTACCTGTTCCCATTTCTTATCACACAACAGAACTGTGAAAGTAGGCAGGTGGTCACATGATTTCTCTCATGATGCTAGGGCTAACTAACCACAAACAACAGCAGCAACAATGGAGAAGCTTCAAGTTCTGGTTTACCTTTACTTGGAATCTGGCTTTATATGACAAGTCAGAGACCAGACAGCTGGTGTGACAATTCTGTGATGATTATGATGAGTCAACAGGCATTATTACTGCCTCCACCCATACGTCCTGGTCTGGTATGCGTGAGTTTTCAAGTACGGTACTTTTCGCATGACGTCACACTGTATAGTGGCCACCATTTTGAGGACCGAATCAGGGAGTGACTGCGCTAGCACGTTGCTTTTAATTTGCTGTGCTTTATGAATGATTCACCTGCAAGACGCGACAGAAGCCGAGAATGACGAAAGACTAATTCACTGTTTTCAAACTCCAGGCTTGGAGCACCTGTCCTGTATAGTTTAGTGTTTTTCTCTGCTGTTGACACCTTGTTCAGCTCAAGAAGGGATTAATAAGCTAATAAAGGTATTTTAACCAGGGAAACCACAATTACGCAGTGCAGGGGTTGCAGGACTGGAGCTGAGGAACTTTGCACTAACTGCACTAGCAAACTTACAAAACCACGCCTGTCGAAACACGACGTAGTTTTCTGACCCATGACATTCAGTCTTATATTTAACGTTTATGTTTCTCCATTCAAACGTCATTTAATTCTCCAGAAACAGAGAAATAAAGTTATGCCTGGCTGTTTGCAGCTCCATTAGGGGGGCAACTGTTTATCTCTCGGCTGTTAACAATAGCAAAAAGTTATCTAAAGGCTAGCTTTGTTCACATCTGTGTTAATTAGCTGATGTCGCCTTACCCTTCCTATGATGACAAAGAGTTTTTTCTCCTCTTTAGGCAACACCATGGGATCCTTTACCCACCCTGACGTGAAGAGCCGGTAGGCTTCTGTGCTTTTAAATGCTTTGGGAGACTCTCCAGAGTAGGGAGAGGGGTTGTGTGTGAGATAAATATATCAGGAAAACACAAATTTGGTAGCTTTCCACCAGTTTAAGTGAGACCAGGAGTTCAGGGGAAACTGTATGAGGATCGCAGCCTATTTAACAACTTTGTCAAGGTAAATTTTTTTCTCTTCCAAAGTAAGGTGAATAATTTTAGCCATCTTTCACCTCTAGTTACGTTCATGCGGAGCAGCAAAGCCAGAAATGTGGTCCCAAATATGGCAGCCACAACAGAAAAATCACGTGACTTACTGAAACCGTAGGATACAAAATAAGACATTGTTTTATGATAGTTTTGAGGTTTTGGTCTCAAATGTATTATTAAAAAACATTTATGATGAAGATGTACATGCAAAACATTCCCCCACAAAACTTATTTTAAGATTTAGCACTGTTTTACCATTTATATCAACATTACATATAAAAGCCAAGAAGTAGGACTGATTAGTTGGCTGGATGATATTTGCGTTTGCTGTTTACATCAAGTGAAAAGGGAAATACAAATAGACTGACAAATCAAAAACTAAAAATATTTAACTTTTTAACGTTATTTAAACATACAACAGCGTTTTAGGGCCACTGTTAAAAAAATGTAAAATAGTAGACTTCGAGAATAAAGTCTGAATAATCTGAGATAAAAAATCGTAGAATATTAGGATATTACCAGGAAAAGCCGCAATATTGTAGCCACAGGGTTTGCAAAAGAAAGGTAGCACTTCCTCGTGTTAAAACGAGGGATGTTGAGGAGTTATAGGTAGAGTTATACATTCGTATTGGTTTCTCCCATAAAGAAATACTCATGGCACATCAGCCCCAGACTGTCATTAGTATAAGAAACGGGTAAAACGGCAGTGCAAGAAACTATTTATTTAGAAGAAAGAGCAAGATGGACTTGGAGGAAATTGTCTCTTTTGTTGAAGGACAACTCCAGGCAGTGGCCGTCTACACAGCTACACAGGAGACAATGAGAATGATTATCAAAATGATCAATCCTGAAGGTACAGCAACCGAGGCCCCAACGCGTTATGGCTGCCCCCCTACAATTATCCTACTTTATCCTTGAAATATTGCGAGTTTATTCTAAAATACGGTTTAATTATCAAAATGTTACGACTTTATTCTCGAAATATTATGATTTTATTCTAAAATACGACTTTATTCGCGAAATATTACGACTTTCTTTTATTATTTAAAATTGTTTTAATAGTGGCCCTAAACCCCATGGTATAAACGCCATCCTGTGTGATTGAGCTCAGCATGACCATCAGGCACAAGTACACTGGGGAATATTCTCTGCATCCACAGCAGAAACTCTGAATGGTGAGATACTAATATCTTATTAAAACCGCAGTCAAAGTTAAAACACAGCTCACCAGCTGTCTGCTTTTCAGCTCATTCTGTTTTAGTTTAGCAGAGAGAATAAGTGGCTGAAGAGAGCTGCATTTTGAAACTGTTGGTCTATATTAGGAATAAGAGTAAGAACAGGATAGGTGAATAAGACTAGGGTTTTTTTTTTATGGAATAATAGTCCATGTATTTTAATTGGCTGAAGGAAGCATTATTGCCAGACCAATTACATTCAGGTTTTTGTTTCCAACTAATCGTTTAATCGAAGTCATAAAGGACCAACTATTCGATTGTGAAAACAGTCAAGTCTGAGCTTCACTCAGAAGACCTGTGTTTGGATAGTAAATAAAATGGCTATATTTGTGTTGTAGACATCATGACCCCTTGGCTCCTATCAGCACTGCTGTACAGAAATGTAAGTCAGTAAGTTTCTCTACAAAGTTTTACATCAAATCACTCTGAATAACTTAACATTTGAATTATGTAGCAAATGAATTATGTAGTAAAGTACAGAAATCAGTAGAGTTCCACTTTAATCCTTGTGTAATGTGTAAAACACTGTACATGAAGGGTCTGCTTACGGCGAATGGTGTAGACTTGCACAAGTTTCCTCACTCTCTGTCTCTCTCTCTCTCTCTCTCTCTCTCTCTCTCGCTCTCTCTCTCACTCACTCACGTGTCTCCTGTGTGTGTGTGTGTGTGTGTGTGTCTGTGAATGTTGTTTCTTTTGGCCTTGTAAGTCTCATTGAGTGTGACTGCTTTCAGGGTTGGGGTCATATCTAAATATGCTTGAGGTTGAGTGAGCGCACACACACACACACACACACACAGTCCAGTGAGGGTGTATGAGTGTCTGTGTGTGTATGAGTGCACAGCATTGTGCTGCTGTATTTTAATGACATTTAAATCATTTAATTCAGAATGCTGGGCCCTGGAGTGGTGAAGAAGTGTGTGTGTGTGTGCATATACCGATACACTGTACCCATCATACACCACTCAGGTAACACATGGAAAAACATTTCTTTATAAATATGTTACAAGACATCCTAAAAAATGGCCACCACTTGCCTTTAGGGGTTTCACAAAGCATATTTTCTTAAGTTTAAAAAACACAAGATGCAGTGCACGTTCTGTTTTTCTGTCCACGCTGTTTTTGGAACGTTGATTCTGGCAGCGCATCTCTGTTGCTATTCAGCAGTGGCAACATAACTGTAAATCAGCTGTGCTAGCAGGCTGTCATTTCAAGACGTTGAAATTATGGGGATACAGAGAACTAAGCTTCCTCAAAGAGACTTGAGCTTCCTTCAAAACAATAAAATCTGAAGCCTGCTTTATTAACATGCCACTATTTATAACACTATTATTTGTAGTGTTATTATCTTGCTAGCTCAGACCACTCTGACAACATATTATGGTAGCATGAGAAACCCTAACTGGACTGTAAACCTCAAATACACTTCACAAAACAAAACACTGGGCTGTAATGTAAGACTGGGCCTATGCGTGTTGTAAATTGTAAGAGGCCAACTGTGGGCACGTCCTGAAGAGACGCTGTTGTGAAATGTATATGAAGAAACGCTCCGTCACTCGCCCTTTTAGAAAGCGATCCACTATTAACTAGCAGGTGTGGCGCAGCTAGCATAAACAAGCTAATAAGGCTTCTTTTTGCTCATTATTTTGAACTGTGAAATCATACAGTTCAGGATGACGCTTGTGATGTAGGCTACTTGAAGCACTCTGTAAAGCTTGTCCAACCTCACCACATCAACACTATGAAGGAACACATTTGTGGGTGTAGCATGGAAAGGCCACTTAGCATGAGTCTATTGAGGCTATTCACTTTCATGTACTGCTATGTTACATTAATCTTTTTGACTGGATTATTTCTTCAGCTGATCTGGTCTTTAAAGTGCTGCTGATGCTTAGTGTTGCAGAACATGGATCAGAAAACACACAAGTACACCAAGAGTTTGATACGTTCCCCACAAAGCCTTTCTTAATTCTCTTTATGTTTCCCTCGTGCTCTGTTTCTCTCTCTCTCCCTCTCTTACTTTCTCTCTTTCTTTCCCTCCTTCTCTCTCTATCTCTCTTTCACTTGTCTTTCTCTGTCTCTTGTTCTCTCCTTCCTCCCCATCTTTCTCTCTTTCACCCTTTTTCAATCTCTTTTGACTTTGGTGCTTATTTATTAATTAATCCAGATAATTCCCTCTTACAGTGCTTAAATACAAAGCTTTCAAACACCAAAGACTCTCACTCTCTCTCTTTCTCTTTCCCTCCTAACCCCTCTCTCTCCTCCCACCCCCTTTCTCTCTCCTCTCTCTCTCAGCTGGATGAATAATTCCTATGCCATGTGCAGAGAGGAGAGATAAAGAGGAGTATTTCTCTAGAGCTGAGAGAGAGGGACCCAGGAGAGAAGAGAGAGAGAGAGAGAGAGAAAGCTGAAGGCCCAGAACAGTGCAGCACTTCACTGGACTCATTTGCACTTAGATTGGCGTTGATGCCACAGCAGCCACACGTGATAGTCTTTATACACACAGCATAATGTACAGAGTGTGTGTGTGTGTGTGTGTGTGTGTGTGTGTGAGTGTGTGAGAGATATACTCACAGGCATGGTCTGACTCCCGTGTAGGCCGCTGATTGCTGACTGAGCCTCGGTGTGTGTGGAGAACTTAACAAAGGCACAGCCTGCAGGACACACAAACAGGAACAAGAGAAAGAATAAGAAAATAATGTAGAGCAGTACAGTAGGTCAGCATGAGGAGTCAGTGGTGTCTCAGGTGGCTGCTACACCAGAGACACTAGTGAACACACACACACACACACACACACACACACACACACACACACACACACACACTCCCTCACTTCTGTGGCTCTATTCTGTAAATAACGTCAAAGTGCTGTAACGTGAACAAGACTGATCTATTTTTTAATATGGAAAACTAAGTGAGATTACAGCAATGGACCTTCATCCTGTACAATAACAGAAATAAACTGTAAAGGTAAAAAACAACTGTTATTTTATGTAAATGTTACTTGGAAAACAGAAAATCGATGTTCTCCTCATTTTTAAATAAGAGTTGTATGCTGTTATATGTAAACATTGTTAATCCCTTAATGCCTCAGGTTTATTACATACTAAGGCTTATTATTCAGTAACTATAAGGACTTCAGTGCGAACTTGCTAAGCTATACTTACGTTATGGAAGTGTGCAATAAAACCTTGGGCCTGCCGGTGGGCCCTGGCCATTTAAGGGGTTAAAGTTTCAAAACATACTGTTCACACAGTCCATACCACCCATATACGCTCACAGTAAATAATGCAATTCATCAGACTCATTCCAGTGATTGGATCAGCCTTCAGGTGCTGAGAGTTCTTCCTGAACTGGGAAAACCTGCTTTTAGCTACAGAGAACCAGTGAGCTGGAATTCACTACAGGAAACTCTAAAACTCTGCTCGCTGGTGTCAAATGAACCCTGTAAATTTTTAGTCTCTAACCACCTCCACTGAGCCTGCAACTGCTTCATTTGAATTTAGTAAACTTTTAATTTGATTTTGATATGTTTTAGTTATTGTTTTACATTTACTATTCTTTTTATTTTTTTCATTAACTTTTACTTTCCAGTTACTGCTTAGTTATTGTTTTACAGTTCCCATTCTTTTATTTATTGTGTCATCAACATTATTATTTTTTTATCCTTTTTTGATTTGTCATTTATTTTTGCATTTTTTGAAGTTTATTCTGATCTGATTTTTTACTCTTAAATTTTACCATGATAATTATACCAATAATTATTACTGAAACAATTTAAAACAAAGTGATAATTAAAATAAAGAATATTCCAATTCCAAATTTCTAGGTCACTATTCAAATTGCTATTCAAATATAAGTAAATTTATGAAATTGACCATGTTGAGGCCTTTGTACAAAAAGGTCATTTTTTGGTCTTACTGATATATCAAATACTAAGAAATACATTCAAAAATTCTACTTTTTACTCAGAAATACTCAGTAATAAAAAACTTTGTATTAAACTAGAAAGGCATGCAAAACAAAAGCACTTTCACCAGTGGTCTTAGACTTTTGGACCTTACTATATATATGTATGTACAAATGTAGAAAACATGAAAACAAATGTAGAGATAGATTGCAGAACTTTGTCAACATCACTGATTTCCAGGTTAATTTGGGTTCAGAGGCTGAAACGCTAAGAAACAGATTTCAGTGAATGTGGAGTAAACACAGATGTTGAAATAAGGTCATTTGAGTAGGCCTGATGTTTTCTCACAGAAATACACTCTCTATTCTGCACCATGATAACACTCACTTACTGAGACAAGAAAAACACTGTCGGTTTAAAGTCTGTTCACACCAAGTATGTTTTTTTGTGGATGGTTAAAAAAAGGATGCATTTTTAACAGAGTGGATCTTTCACACCAAATCCAAAGTTTTTGTTTTCAACACTCTGGGAACTCAGGAAGATGACGGAAGGGGAAGGAAAAATAGATTTCTCAAGTAGTAGCAATGATGGTTTTATATTTCTTTAAAGCACTGCAACCAAAAGGCGCACACATTGGGTACAAATATTCTACAAAAAACTGACTATGGCACACCTGGATTAAAAAAGGGCTATAAACAGTTGCTGTGTTGTACTCACCGTCATTCCCAGCCTTTCAGCTCGGGTCGTACATATACAGTCAAATGCTAAAGTTTGAACTCCCCCAGTTAAATTACGTTTTGTTGATTTTTTAAGTGGACAGTAAGTTCTCATAACTTCTACAGAGCACAAACTTTTTAAAAATTTAGTGCACAATTTCTTTTTATTCGCTAAATTTAACATATTATAAAGAAAATAAATAAATAAAATTTCAAATGTGCCATAACTTTTGCACAGGCCACATTTTAGATTTTATTTTTCTCCAATATGTTAAGTTCAGCAAATGAACAGTAACCGTGCATTAAAATGTGCTGAAGAAGAGGATGTTCTCTGTAGAGGATGTGTAACTTATTTTCATTTAGAAAATCAACAAAACGTAATTTGATCAGGGGTGCCCAAACTTTTGCATACAACTACTTTCTTCAACCACTTCATTCTTATAGTCAGCTTGTTGCTTATCATGTAAGTTTTTGTGCTCCGCCATGAGCAAGATGAGCCGATCTTAATGGATCTGTATTAAAATTTTTAAGCACCACAGTCCAGCAGACTTTTAGACTTGATGTAAAAGACAGCATTAATATGCATGTGTTCATGTTCAAAACGCTTTTTTCGTCCATAAGAATCAGACTATGTGTGAACAGGCCTTCACAGCGTTCTTCTGTCATTACTTTGATTCACTTTACAAATAAACTACCTTTTGATGTCCTAAACATTTAGGAACCCTGAAGTGAATCCAGAGTGCAGTGCAGAGACTGCGGCCATATGAAATGTTGATGATTGTCTGTTGAGTGAAAGGGCCGCTGTGCTCTTTCTCACGCAATCCCATCATCCTTCACACACACGACTTGACCTCTCTGACACGCCTCTCCGCTCTCTGACAGCAGCGTGTGCGTGCATGTGTGTGCTTGTGTGTGAGTGTGCATATATGTGTGTGCTTGTGTGCGTGTGCATGTATATAGATCTTTCTACTGAATTAAAAAAAAAAATTAAAAACAATTATTCAAGTATTCATTATATTGTGAACTATTTAAACCCAAGACATTAATTGAGATAGTAATAAGCTAGATATATACAAAGTCTTCATTTATATGGTACTTTCTATCGGGAGGTGGCTGTCTCAAACCCTAACACCTAAATTTCAACTTGTGAAAGTTATACTTACATTTTTTATGTTGTTTTTAAAAAGATATTTTTGATGTCTTTTAAAGTGAAGCTAAAAGATTAAGATATATCATGAACTTTTTTTTTTAATTTAAATGCTGCCCCACGTTTTCATGTCACTACCGAAACACACAGTTTTAGCCTGTAGGAGGAGCCTTATTATAGCCACAACCCTGCATTTTAGAGCAGGAAGTGAGACTACGACACCTGTCCCTCATGACCACACATGACGATGAATGGTGCAGGAATGCTGTGGCGGAGTTTTTGATTGTAAAGACCCGGCCATTCTAGCACTCGAGAGTTTACCACCATTCTTATTGACACGGTGTACATTCCACCCAGTGCTAACGCGAGGGAAGCAATGAACAAACTCTATGGCGCTATGAGTAACCTACAAACTGTACACTCTACAGACGCATTTTTCTTTGTCACTAGGGACTTTAATCATGCAAAGTCAGTGCTGCCTGCTCTTCACAGAGTAAAAACAACGACCATTTTTTACACCAATATCTATGGCGCATACCACCCTGTGACCCACCCCCACCTCAGCTGCTCAGACCACATCTCTGTCATGTTAATTCCAGCATCCAAACCTCTGCTCAAGCGTGCCAGACTGGTTCTGAAACAGGTGATAACTTGGTCTGTGTATGTGTGTTTTTGTGTGTGTGTGTATGTGTATGATACATATGATGCACATTAGTATATAGTGTTTTGTTGTCCTGTCAAGTATTTATTTTTATTTCACACGGTCGTGCACCTGCACTCTGTGTAGTCCTGTGTAATGTGCTGCTGTTATGTGATGCGTCATGGGGCCCGAAGAACAAAATTTTGCTCCAATGTATAAAAGTATACTGAGGAATGACAAAGACCACTTGATGTACTGTCCAGCATTTTTGAGTTTTGCTCAAAATTAGCTAAAATTATCACTGCTGAAACAGTCACTTATGAACGTCTTGGTAAAGTTTTGGTAGTGTTGTGACTGTTTTGGTAGTGGCAAAGTGGAATGTCATTTATTTTAATAAAACAAACATGATTAAGGTATAGGGTCATTTAAAGTCAGTTAAAAGTCTAAAATGTGTTTCAACTCTAACTTTGAACCAGTTCAGTAGAATGATCCATACTTTGTGATCTACAACAGAAACCAAACCCTTTATAGGTACATACACAAACATTTTGGATGGCTAACAAAATTATTTCCAGAACAACACATTCCAAAAAATCAGACCAAGTGCTGGCTCGAAAAAGTGTAAAATGGTCTTTATGTGCCAAAACAGTCTCTGGTGCATCTACTTCAAACAAATTCCCAAGAATCAATAAAGAGAGAAGAGAAAAAAGAGAGAAATCCTCATGGATTGCTGTCTTCAAGGGTTTTTGTTCCTTATTAACATAAACAGCAACTGACAAGCTCACAAAGAGTTGACAATGTTTTGCCTGTAGGCCTTGTCAGATCATTGAAGAAAACTGTTTTTTTTAATTAAATTCAATACTGAAAAGATACAGTACTGTGCAAAGGTCAGAGACTACCCTTTATGTATTGAATTTCCAGTCAAAACAGCCATTCAGTACAAGGTATTAATTTTTCAGGACATATTTCGGATGAGTTTAGATATAAGGTAGCCCACTAGCATAAGGAAAAGGAAAAAGTTAAAAGAAAAGAAGGGAAAAATTGAAAAAAAACTTCCAAAATGAGTTCAAAAAAGATGAGAAAATGGGACTCCTAACAACTATACAAGACGTGCTAGACCACCAAAACTGTCAGCATTAGCAGGAAATACAAGCAACTTCTAAGACTGAACTTCAGAGGTGTGGAAAAATATCCCTGCAGATTTCTTTAAAAAACTGAAAGCAGATCTCCTGAAAAGAATGGAAGCAGTAATAAAGGAAAAGGGTGGACACACTTGTGAAATTTTCTTGTACTTAATGGACATTTTAACTAAAATTAATTGAAGGGTGGTCTCTGACTTTTGCACACTACTGTGAGTGTGTATGTGTGCGTGTGAAAGTTAATGTACACTGCTATCCATGGACTGGTGAATAATTCCTGAGCAGTGGTGGAGTGGGCTCTGGACTGGAATAGGATTTGTCAGGTGATATTGCCGTCCCACTGCTCTGAGGCTACACACACACATGTGGAATAGATTCTGCCACGTTAGTGTCAGGCCTTTCAGTCAGACACCTTCACACCGGAACATCAGCTTGACGTGTCCGTGTTTGTGTGAGCGCAAGTGCGCACGTGTCAGGCTGAGTGTACAAGCATCTGTGCATTGGTAGTGAAAGACAGCATCTATCTGTGCATGTATGCATGTGTATTAGAGTGCCTGTGTGTGTGTGTGTATGTGTGTGTGTGTGTGTGTGTTGTAGACAGATTGACAGAGTGAAATTGAACGTGTAAATGACAGCCCTGCTGGAGTCTGTCCAGATCCGGTTCTATTTAGAGGAGTGGAATGTTTTCAGGGGAAAAAAAAACTCAAGGATATCTCAGGTGTTTCACTTTAACTCTGAAATCCAAAAACATTAAAGTCTGCTCATATCTACTGACTGCTGCTTTACTACACAGATGTTAAGAACCTGAGACATCTGCATTTTAAGTATATTCTGATTAGGGATGCACAGACATTGCTTCAGGGTACTGGCATTCTCTATTGCCAATACAGATAGTGTGTTTAAGTGCCAGTCAGGGCACAGTATTGGTATTGGTGCAACTCTAATACCAATGATAAGGATGTGGGGTAGCAATTCACAATAATGAACCTCAATATTACTCAGAAAATTAACATTCTATTAACCGAAGTGACTGAAAGCTGGTGCATCGATTTTAAGTCAGAACATGTTTTGTGATATTTCGCATATCTGGCAGCTATCAATAAAATATATGCTCTTGACCTGAAGCATGGAAAGTTATGAAAGATGACCTTGTAAGGATCAGGCCAGTTTAAAAAAAAGATATCATATACAATTGGCTTTAACAGTACCCAAAAAAGGTAAAGATTCTGGGTGTGATAGTGATTAAGATGGTATGGACCTTTGTAAAAGGGGCGAGGTGATTGTCTTATCACCCCAGAAGGATGTATAAAAAGGGATGTGCTGAACCTGTCTTTGCATTTGGGTCTCCAGAGACCACTTGCCATATGATGCTCAAATAAAGCGAAGATCTTTTCCTCCTTTCCACAAGAACTCAGCGTCTAAAGTCCTTTTGATTCTTTTTGATTCTTTTTAAAAAACTTATAACTAAGATAGTTAATAGTGCAAGTGCATAGTCAGTATTAGAGATTTACCAATATGTCCAGGTCTTGGGCTGTAGGGACAGCTCTGGGTAATGACAATGCTCAGAGGAAAAAATATCTGGTCTTTGTATCTACCCCAGGCTCATATGGGGCGTAACCTAGCCTTAAAGTCAAGCTGAAATCAAACTGGTTTTTTACCTTGTTAGTTCATGTCTTTGTTAGTTCACACCTTCTGATGTTTGGTTGCGTTACAGGCAGGGGAAAGAAGTGCACTAACCAATAACATCTTCACATATTTTCCCTCCCCTCCCATAATCCTGACCTATCATTGAACAAGAACACCCGTCATCACCTCCGCTCCCAGCTGCATGTACATGTTTGCTGAACTTTCTTCTCCTCACTTTACTCTCTCACTTTCTCTTTTTGGGCCTGTCGCAAAATAGTCACTTATTTGCGTAGCATTATGTAGCAGATACAGTACAAAACGCTGCCACACCAATTAGAAGGCATTTCAGTGAGAATACAGATAAACAGCAAGTTCAGGTTTGTTGTTACATTCTACTCATATAATTTAATGAAAGAACATTCAACACAATTCATCATGTTTAGTGTCAGTTTACCTGCTGTTTTTGAGCTGAAAGATGAAAAAAGGTAGCTCACGTACTTACCACTAGCATTTGTCTGTTTATAAAAAAGACTAAATTTCAAGCCACATGAGATCTACTGTGGTTTTCTGTGGTCTTGATATGGGTTTCATTTAATGTTGTAGTGGCAGAGTGCTGCGTGGTGCGTTGTGGCGTGAAGAGAAACTGAACAGGATTGAACAGCATTTCCAAAGGAAACCAAGAACAGAACGGCAGAAAAATGGAAACAGAAGATAAAAGAATATGGCTGATCTAGAGAAAAGGCAAGAGGGAACATTGGTGTGTTTTCCAGGAGAGAGCCAAGTAAGGTGAAGAGTGATGATGGCCTTCCTCTGTATCTGCTATTAATTATTTAGCTTAGCCTGTAGCAAATAACTGCACTCAAAGAAATCGCACTGTTGTTGGCTTTAGTCTGTTTTCTCTCATTGATACTACTTAACAAAAGCATGTAAGTGAGTGAAACTGAGTCAGTTGTGCTGTTTTTTAGGAAATTAAGTTGTCAAATTTGCTTTATAAGTGCTTGTTTGACCAATGTAACCTTGTTAAGTGAGCATTGGTTCCTGGCATCATTTATTTGCATTTGCATCTTAGAAGCTACTTAACACAGCTGTGTAAGCACTTGATAACATTTTTTGTGAATCTAACATTTTATTTTTAGGTAATATATAAAAATCCAACAATTCATTTCTTGAGTGTGTGCAGCCGGTGTAGCTAAATAGCTAATGTTAATGTTAGCTGGTTAGCTGGCTAATGTAGTAGCCCAGGAACTATGTCAGCTAGCTTGAGACAGTAGGCTATGTGAAGCTAACAAAGTAAGCTCTGGCCTCATAGGCACTGAGTCCAACAAGGGGAACAATTAGCTAGATTGATTCTGTATTAGCTAATCTTGACTAGCATACCAGCATCCAAAACACAACATATGCAGGTTTGGCTGGTGATCAGCCATGCTGGTCTATGCTGGTTTTTCTAGTAGGATAAGAGGAGTGAATTCTCACCTTTGCTGTTTCCGTCAGGACCCCTTAATACAGTACACTCTTCGATGACTCCATAGGGCTCAAAAAGGCGATACACGTCCTCCTCTGTTTGCTGCTTGTTCAGCATGCCAACGAACAGCTTCCTGTCCTCTGAAAAACAATAAAGAACAGCGTCAGCCATTTTGTCTGCCTCTGAGCTCATCTCAGTTTCTTTTTGTCATTTCTTAAAATCTACAGTCAGATTACAAGGCTTTCAACATTGAAGTCACATAGCCTTGCAGTCTCGATAGACAAACACTGGCAGCAGAATCAAAGAGCTCAGTGACTTTAAACATAGCACTGTCTTAGGATGCCACCTCTGCCACAAGCCAGTTTGTGAAATTTCTGTCCTGCTAGATCTGCCCCAGTCAACTGTAAGTGCTATTACTGTGAAATGGAAGCACCTAGGAGCAACAACAGCTTAGTCACGAAGCAGTAAACCACGCAAACTCACAGAGTGGTGCCACCACAATTTGGGGAAGGCACATGTTCCAGCATGACTGAGCACCAGTATACAAAGCAAGGTCCATAAAGGCATGGCTGAGATTGGTATAGAAGAACTTGACTGGCCCTCACAGAGCCCTGACCTCAACCCAATCAAACTCCTTTGGGATGAACTACAATGGAGATTGCGGGCCAGGCCCTCTCGTCCAACATCAGTGTCTGACCTTACAAATGCTCTTCTGAATGAATGGGCACAAATTCCCACAGAAAAAGAAACACTCCAAAATCTGGTAGAAAGCTTCCCAGAAGAGTAGAAGCTGTTATAGCTGCAAAGGAGGGACTAACTCCATATTAATGCCTGTTGATTTAGAATGGGATGTCATGAAAGCTCCTGTAGATGTAATGTGTAATGTGTGTCCCAATAATCTTGTCCACATACTGTATGTAACCTCCCACTGCCGCTTGTGCAATGTCATAGGACAGCTGAATGCACTTGAGTGCTAGCTGCCCAATTCTGTATTTGCGGCCTTGCGCAATGCAGTTTAAAATGCTGGGCTATGCTGTTGTAGCTCATCAAAACAGGTTGGAAACGACAAAAAACAAAGAATTTTGGAACTCGATCACATAACAAAAGCACTACACCCGATCTATCCTAACAGTGCAACCATTTACAGAAGCACAGTTTGAAAGAAAAAAGTTGTGTGCTACAGTTTCTTATTATATTGAACATTATGTTCTGTAAAACTTGTCTAACCTGGCAACCATAGCTGTGACAGATCGCATCTGTGGGCGGAGCACAGATAGGTCAGAGACTAGCATTGCTCTAAACGGATAGGGAGAGAGGGCCTAAGCCTGCCTTCCAACCCCATTGTTCTCTCATGGACTCCCACCAATGGATGGCTGTGGCATCGCTGGGAATTGTAACTCTGGTCCCAGCGATAGGACACAATCTCCTTAGCCGATTGTGCCACTTGAGAGCCGTAACAAGGTTTTTTGACTTCACTGCCTGGCCAGACACAGCAGCCTAGAAGCAAACTGTGACGTGTCATGCTGCAGAGGCTGGGGGCTCCTGTAGACAGATCGAGCTAGAGGTTTGAGAACAGAGGGAATGTGCCATACTGGAGAGGGACAGAGGGAGAGAGCTTGGCACAGGCCACCTGCCAAATCAATCAGAGCTGACCTACTATAGCAGTGACACACAAATGCACACGTTCTGGTCACTAACTGTGTGTGTGGAAAAGACAGAGAGAGAGAAAGAGAAAGAGAAAGGACGAAATAGTGTTGGTACTCTTGCCAGTGCTTCTTTCCCTAATCCCCTATTATTCCCCTTTCATGTACACAGAATTTGTCATGGGTTATGTGTGTGTGTGTGTGTGTGTGTGTGCGTACCCCCTGTCAGTAACAGTGCTGGCACTTCATCAGTAAGAACATGCTGATCAGTGTTTGTGTGTGTATGTGTGCATCTACATTTAAGCTCTTTTCTTTCTTTCTTTTTAAAGAGCAGCTTATAGGGGAATTCCACCAATTTCTCAAACTTTTTTCATATTTTCTATCGTCCTATTTATATCATTCTGAGTGGTTTGATGCGAAATGGTTCATTGACCTCCTCCTTTACAGAAACTTGGATTTGTTTACAGTGGTGCTGATAGGAACCAGAGGTTGCAATGCCTGAAACACAAATATGACCAGTGAAGCTGCACGTCTCCTTAGTTTTTATATGTAATGTTGACAATACTAAAATTTTATTAGTAAAAATAAGCCTTATATATTGCCTTACAACACCCAGATGTACAGGGTGATTTAAAAAGATTCCTCCGGTTTCAAAGTGCTATATTTTTATAACCGTGAGGCTCCTAGGAACCAATCACATACCATTTGAAAGAGGAGGTCATAGAGTTTCTGTCACCAGAAGATGGCTCCCTTCAGTCTGCTAGGAGATGGAGACCCCTGAGCAGAAAGCGTTTTGCCTTATCCACTTCAATAAGAGTGAATCAGTCATAACTGTGCAATGTGATTTTCGTCAGCAGTTTTTTTTTTTTTGGATCACGCTGTACCTCTCTGCCAAAACTTTTTTATTCGTAACCAACTCATGTAATAACTTTCTGATGTCGCTTATAGAAACATAAAACTCTTTAGACGTCTGATTCCTATCACCACCACTGTGAACTATTCTGACATCGTAAGTTTTTCTAGAATGGAGCATTTCACAAACCACTCTGAATTCATTTATTTATAACATTTTAATAATGCATAAACATTCATATCATGGAATTCTCCTTTTATATTTGTAAAACTATTTAACAATGTTTTATTAATATTTTGTATGTTTATTTATTGAGTTATTCACTATTACTATTATTATTATTATTATTATTATTATTATTATTAGTATTACTAAAATAATAAAGATAATAATGTTGGTCTTCCTTTTCAATGTTTTACCTTTATTTGTTTTCTATTCATTTATTTACTATTTATTTCTATGTATTCTTTCTTTGTAAAAGCACCTACAGCCACATTTTAATGTTAATGACAAAGTTTAATAAATGCAGTTTATTAAATAACATACAAACTTTTATGACCAAATATTATTATTATACTATTTATTTTTCTTGTTGCTTTTATGTTTGTGTGATTATTTGATCAGATTTATTTTTATATTTACTCCTTTTTTTTTTTACTCCCTGTGAAGCTATTTTAGCTGAATTAAATGTATGACAGGTAATAAAGAAGTAAATATTATGATACTAATAATAACTTTATCTGAAGAGCACCTTTCATACAGTATTAAGTACTGGAAGCAGTGTTGGGTGGGCTGAGAAACTGTTTTTGGGGCTTTTTACTGCAAGTAATAAACCTTCAGTTAGTGTCAATACGACACAAGACCTCTCCACACAGCCTGTTTACCAAACACACAGACAGACTGATACAGAACTCTGAACGTGTCAGAACAGTGGTGTCGGAGGACGGCTGTGCTGCTGAGGAAGTGTGTGGGGTTAACATATTTTCGGTGGCCTTGTGTGACTGTCTCTCTCTCACACACACACACACACACACACACACACACACACACACACACACACAGTGACCTTGCTTGATGATGTGTCAGAGTTTTATCATCTTTATGAGTCAAGATCCTGATAGAACTTCATACAACACCATAGAACAGAGAGAGAGAGGGAGAAGAGTGAGGGAAAGAGAGAGAGGAATGAAGAAGATGGAGGGAAAAAGAAAAAGTAAGGGAGTGAGAGAAATAAAGTGAAGAAAGAGAGAGGGGGAGAGAAATAGGAGGGAGGGAAAGAGAGAGAGAAAGAAAAAGAAAGAGAAAGGGGAAAAGAGGGGAGGGAGAGAGTGGCCAAGAAAAAGAGAGAGGAGTGAATGATAGTGAGACAGTAAGACAAGAGTTAGGGGGAGGGAGAGAGGGAGAGAGAGGTGTAGTTGAGCTCAGTGAGATGAATCTATATATAGTATCCGTAAAGCAGCAGTAAATCAGGAACATCCAACAAAATACCTCCAAGGCCGTCGTATCTATCACACCTATCTCACCTTCATAGACTGCGCACTCCGCTCACCACCTTCTGCTCTCATAAAAGGTGCCTACACACATTCACACACACTCACTTACAGTCACACACAATCACACACGCAGACACATATGTCCGACTATAAAGTGGCCTAAAAACACTCAGCAACAGCTTCAACACAACCTCACCTCGCTCCCCTCATTCTCTACTACTGTTACACCAGCATGTTTCTTTCTTCCTTCTGTCTCGCTCTTCTCCATTTCCTCCCCTCTTTCTCTCCCTTCTTTATCTCTCTATCACTCTCTCTCCCTTCTCTCTGTTGTTCTCTTTTTCCTTTTTCCTCTCTATGTCTCGTTTCTTCTCTCTCTCTCTCTCTCTCTCTCTCTCTCTCTCTCTCCCTCTCTGTGTAAGTGTTGCTGGTTGTTGCAGTCTGGTTGCTGTGCTCTGGCTGTGCTGGTGACTGGCTCTTTTCTCCTGTTGCCTAAGCTCTGTGGGACGCTCCCCTCATTACAGCTCTGTTACCATCCGGCCCGCAGGGGACCGCCATTGCAGCGCATCGTGCAAGCGCTACAGGATGACCCGCCACCGCGCATGCAATATTAACCCTTTAAGGTTGCAGTTATCAACAGGACATCACAAAGACCATGTGATATCACACTGAAGGAGCAGTTCAGCCAAAAAATCAAATTTACACATTTTCCCTATTTCCCCAAATGTAGTCAATCAGCCACAACATGCTTGGTCTGAAGTGTGTTTGGTTTGGTGTCTGAAATTTGCTTCTTTAGTTTTGCTAATGTAACCAACATGGAAGCTTATAACTACTAACACTGTGTAAACAGCAGGCTTAAATCATCGATTCGTTATTTAGATCTAATATATAAAGATGTATGATATGTGGTCCAAAAAGCTTCTGAAAAGACCATCCCAAACCTCTGACTTTTAAAGCACTATTATCACCACGTGCTTGGAGAACATCTGCCAATTCTGATATTGGTCAGCTTCTTACATTTACATCTTTGCCATGTTTTTGTCTTTTCTTGACATAGAAACAAACAAAAAAATGTAAGTGTACAAATGTAAATGTAAGTATTTTTGTGCATTTGTGTATTTATTTACTTATATATTGAGTTAGTTTATTTTTCT